TTGTAAACCTGTGACCTCCCCGTCACCACTATGCCCCGACCCAACTATGATCCGTCCCCACTATGCACCGACCCCACTGTACTGGTTTTTTTTTTAACTTGTTATTAAAATTTTCTACCAATCCGTACAAAATAATTTTACTAGATGTACTTATTTAATAGTGTAAAAAAAATATTTTTTTTTACTTGATTGAGATGGGGGGGGGCCTGCTTTACATAAATGAGTATAAGCCTAAAAAAAAATTCGAATTTGAATTCAGCGTTCCCAAAAACATACAATTTTACATATTTTGATGTTTTTTAACCCTCCGTTAGTCACGCGGTTGACAATTGTACCCTACTGTTTTTATGTATGTCATAACTTTAATGAAATCTGCTTACAGTAGATACACAAATTATTGGGAAAACCCCGACCCGTCCACTGATTAAGACACTCGATCATTCTGACACAGCAAAATCACCGTCGTGTTTTTTTATCTCGTTATTTTATCGCCTCGAACGCACGGAGGGTCAACTATGAGTATGTCCAACTACCAGCAATTTATGTAGAGGACTGTTATTTATTGGATCCAGATTAAGTGTTAGTTTTTCATGCAGTCTGCCGTCCCAAAATTAATTTCAAATATCACAATTTTTCTAAACGAACACTAGTGTTTTGCATATTGTTATTACCATATTTCATAGGACATTTTAAAAACATTTTTTTTTTTTTTGTAATAGAAAAAATACACCATCTGTACAATAGGCATATGGTATGGTTATACACAGGGGGTTCAAAAAGTTTTAATCCTCTTGATTTTCATAGCCGTTTTTGGTTTTTTTTTTTAAATTTTGACTTTTGTATGTTTTCAGGTGAAACTTAACGCACATTATAAGCACAAATCTAAAGTTTAACCGTATGTAGTTTGCGCATGCCACTATCAACTTTTGAAATTTAAATGGGAACATCTATATTTTTCGAGATATTAGTTATAGCCATTTAAAGTTCAAATTATTATTGCACTAATAGGAAGCATTTATGTTTTGTTTTGAAAAAAACATTATACATTATCTGAACTATTATTTTAAAGAAAAAAAATATACTATAAAATTTAATTAATTGCCTAAATTGTCATTTAAAAATTTGTTAGAAAAAGTACAAATTGTATTCTTTTTTGGAGACGCTATAAATTTAGTAGGATGTTATCAACGTGACGTTATCACATGATGAACGACGGTATATACACAGACACTTCACAATTACTTTTTTTTGTTAAGTAAATTATACCGTATTGTTGTTTATGAGTTACCATCTAAATTTCTAAGCTGAACATTTTTTATTTTTTTTTTTTTAAGCTAAAAACAAAATCTGATTTTATGGTTCGTACAATTGTAGGCGAAAACTAATATGAAACCAAAGTAAATAAACCGTTATGAAATGTAGTATACCTTTAAAACAACGCGCGTAGACCAAAAATCAAATTTAATTTTTTAAGTTTTTACTAAAATTTTCAACGACTCCTTGTATTATAATGTTTTTAAGTATATAAGACTCGCGGTTAACAATGACAATAAATTTTTATAGACAGACGAACAACCCTAGTTCGTTCCACCAAGTTGAAGCACATTATTGTCAATACTATTAGGTACATTTTACTGGTTTACATTTACTGATTTATCGTATGACATTACATTATACTTAGTAGAGTGACTTCACAATTAGAGTTACACAATTATTGGCTTTGACAAGTTAACCGCATGTAAAATTGAACTAATTGTATTAAAATATATTTTTTTTTTAATTTAAAAAGTATATTAGATAATATTAATAATACAATAATTATTCTATTTTTTAATCAACCAATTAGTTTTTTAATGTATACAATATAATATCGGATTTTTATCATCCCGTCATTGTTTTTTTGTTTGCTCTGCTTTATATTTTAGATTTGTCAACTCGGTCAACGTTTTAGTGACTGTAATAATGTATTCCTATCCTCAAGTCCAATTTATTTTTATTGCAATAGTGGCTAAACATTTTTTTTACTAAAAACAACAAGGTATCAAACCCTACCTTTAGTATAATTTATGAACCAACAAAAATTATATAAAAAATACACATTTTTAAAATGAAATTAACATAAAGTTTATTAATTTCTAACTGAGGGAAATATGATTTAAATGATAACTTACAGCTATGTACAAGTTTCTTAGTGAAATTTCAAACTAGTGCAACATATTCAAAATTATATTTTTTAACAGACATGTGAAGTATATATGTAACAAATAATTTCGTTAACAGTTGGTAAATGATTTACTCTGTACTTGGGTGTTCTATTTCTTTCAATTGTTTAAATGATCCATTGTAAAAAGGATACGAATCAAATGACTTAGCAATATTCAAATTGACATCAGAAAATAATTCTTTTACTTCTTCGAGAAAATGATATATATTTGTCCACTCATTGGTTAGTGGGGATATTATTCTCGTACTATTAATTAATGAGAAATAGTACTGGGAAATATTTTCATTTAGGACACCTTCAGTAAAATTACCGTAAAAGGTTTTTTCAAATTCAATAACTCCTTTGACGGCATCGTAGAAATCTGAAAATGAATACCGATTCTTGAATTTTTGTGTTAAGAGGTCATTAACAGACGATATGCCAACAATCTCGCAGAATTCCGATAATCTTAAAGTCATAGTTTCTTTCAGTGATTTGATTTCCTCGTCATTTTTCAATAGTGACGTGAAATGTAAATAACTCTCGACAAATTTAAATAATATAAGTTTTAGTGATTTAATTATACCGTTATTAATATGCCAGAGGCATGTAATCCGATAGCTAATCGTAATATTCACATCCATCGCGGTATCACACATTTTATGTAATGCAATTTTTACATTGGTCCAGTATTTTTCGCCACAATATTTGACAATAATTGTTTCGATTTTGTCCAACTTGTCTAAAGCTGTTAAACTACTAAACGTTATATGTTTCAGGCCACCGGTTGGAACCCCATACTTATCGTTGAACGTCAATTGCCTATTTAGCAAATCTTTATTTATGGACATGGTTTCTTTCAATTCTATACCTGAGAATATTTTCTCTCTGATTATATCGTCCAGTTTTTTTTCCACGTCTTGAAAGTCTCCCATTTTAGATACCACAAACATTTGTAGAGACTCCACGATGAATTGGTGAACTTGAAACATGAACTGAGTTTTTTGCGGATCAATTGCCTGAAGTTTGGAATTCGCTTCCAATAAACTACGTACATTGTCCGTGTAAAACAATAATATCCATTGATTATCTTCAAAAACGGGATCACGGAAGGGCAAACTGTGAACGGTAGCTAATATTGAAATGGCTTCGGCATCGAACAATATGTGGTCGTATTCAGGACTGTACATAAACAATTTGTTAGGGTTATACAGGAATCCTTCGCTTAGCAGTAAGTGACGCAACGTAGATAAAGCATAGCTGCATTGAAGTCGTTGAAAAGACTCTTTACCTATTTCAGTTGAGCTTGCTCCTGGCTGTTCCATCTCTTGTTCGATCTCTACCACAATATCATGTTCAGGACGAGTTTCCAAAATACCCATATGTAGTTTAGTCATTTGCATTTCGACATTGTGTGCAAGCATAAAAATAATTAGCATTGCGGTAGTGAGACCAAACCATAATGATAAGTTTGAACGTAACATTTTTTTTTGCATTTTGCTTTAAAAACTGTGCCTGTACTTAAGGTATACTTTCTAAGTGTAGGTCTAGTGTAATACTAGTATAAGCTGTTTTCAAATGACAGCATGTCATGTACGCAATACGTTAATTTATTGATATGTTATTTAGCGGTTTTTGACAAAAACAACCATGCTACGCTCAGAATGTTATATACTTTACCGTTATTAACCGTCAAATTTGACTTACTAAATCGTAAAATATTTTGTACATTTGTTAAAATAACACTATCGAGGATACTTTTTTGTTGGTTTTTTTTATTAGACTATTATAGCTCTTGACCTTTGTTAATAATGATAAAAAACCATCCTCTTACTTTTCCCAGTACGCTCAAAGAAAAATACCAAATTTCAGTTAGTTAATATATACAGGGTGATTCTTTTAACACCCTACACTAGTTTACTCGAAAACTAATTCGATTTTTACAATAAAAAATGTTTAATCATTTGTTTGTGTATAAAATACTAATTTATTATAAATTTTTTTTTGTATTTCCCCCTTCCGCGAAAACTCGACTCCGACTTTTCAAATGGCATCACTTACTTATTTTTAAATAAATATAAACAAAATTTTATAAAGTAAAATGTTTTGAAGTTGAATTTAAAAAATTTTGATTTGCTAATGAATTGTTGAAAATGTTTAAAACGCAGCTAATAAGAGGCGCTTTTTGTACTTTTTGATATTTTAAACACTTGACGCTTAACCCATTGTTTTTATTTGTTATTCGATTTTCGTCGATAATTTGACAACAAGTAATAACAAAATAATAATAATAACAATTACCCAACAAAATATAATAATAATCATAGATAAAGAATAACGTCTTACAGATATCATATACGTCCGTCTACCTGCGTTAGTTCGTTTATAGTTTATACTGGGTTTTGTCGTCATCGTCGTTGTTGCAACTTGCAACATCACCTTATAACCAAGACGGTTGTAATATGATGTAACGGACGGTCATTAATATTATCAAGCCCCAGACACTGATAAAAATTAACACGGGGAAGATACTTATCACACAAAACCTAGGCGGCAATCTTCTTAAGGCTACACCACTACAATGTTACATCTGTATATAATTATTTTTAGTTGTGTTTAGATATAACACTAAATACAAAATAGGTCTTTACCATATGGTTTTTTGCTTACATCGAAAGTGACCCTTCTGCTTTTATTTTATTCTGTGATATTGTTATGGCCATTATCATATTTTATCACTACCAGTCCATTCTGATTTCCACAACGTAGTCTCTTATGTTTTATTATCAACGAGATGTAAGAGCCAAAATAATTTATTAATCAATCAAGCCAACATGAATATTGAACATGTGTTTTACTACATGCATGTAGTAATTCAATAACAGTTAATCAACTACTCCGTAAATAAATTATTAAAGATGAGTGTTTCAACGTCTTTCGCATTGTATTTGCTTTCTGAAATTACAAAATATTATTATACATTTTTTAAACAAATAAATCATGCCAAATAAGTTGAAAATCACAATGTGGGACTTTTGAAAAACATCTCAATACTAAAAATACTAAATATTACGATATTAGTTTGCAATTTATAATTTTCTTTTCAAAAATAAAAATAAATGATCTTGTATCTCGCAGTTTGCTAATCTTAATCATATTATTCTATTTTTTTATTACTGTAATATAGCTCTTTTAATCGCTTATCACTGGGAAATGTCTATGCAATAATAGTTTTTCAACATTTTTCTCGACTCATTTATTGAATATTATTCTATTTTATATTACTGTAAACTCGCTCTTTAATTTGCTTATCACTGGGAAATTGTACGGTTATTTCCAATGCGGCAAATTCTTGTTTTAAAGCGGCGATTATATTTCGTATTTGCTTGTAGCTATATTTTCCGTTGTGGTTTTCATCGTGCATATCGATCACGTATGCTATCCTTTCCTATTTTTTTTTAACAGTATAATAAAATATAGCAGTGTTGTTAATATTATAATTAATCATTTTCTAAAAGTAATCAATAATCATTGATCATTGACAAAAAAAAATAAAATTTAAGTCAACATGGCATTTTTTTTTTTTTGAATGAGGAGGAGCTAAATTTTTATCAAGTGGCTAAACAAAAGCCTAAAATACCATGTACGATGTAAAAACAAAAACATGCTTACATTTTATGCATTGTGATTAAATAATTGTCAATACATTTTAATAGTAATTAACTATTAATTATCTTAAAACAGGATAGATTTTAATGGCTTAGCCATGTTGGCAGTTCGTAGAAATATAAGACGAATAGAACTCAAAAAATAGATCTTCTGTTGTAAAATTATTATTTAAAAAAGTTATTTCGTATCAAATTTTCAATGTATATTATATTATAAAAATATATATAACTATAAAGTATATTATAACATAAAATATATAACTGTGTACAATAGTAGGTATATTCAAAAAAAGAGTAAACTTGGATGAGGCGTGTAGGGGGCGTTGCTCCCCACTTTATGTTTACTCAGGAATACTTCTATCTCCCCCCCCCCTCCAAAAACAAAATCATAACCACGTCACTGATCTATTTCATAGTAGTTAAAAAGGTTTTATATCAATTAATTTCTCCCTTTCTGTGTCAAAGAGAAGGTTTCAATATTTTAAATATCTCCACACAAGCAACCTATTGGGCCTTTTATCTTGTAATATAGTACTGTAGTTTTTATTTACCAATACAGCCGGATGATCAAAACCCACAATCGATCGGGCGTAGCGTTCGACTTCCGGCTTCGTATATGAACAGGCTGAAAGAACAAAGTATTATAGTATACATTTATATCAAAGGCCTAATAAAGTTGAGAATAACAATGTGTTATACTAGAAAAACATATTTGTCTATTGTTAATTACCCATTTTCAATTCATCGCTTTTTTCGAGCCTTACGGATGAGTCGAGCAACTCTGATATCTCGTTAAATACAGTTGCCATTCCATCAAAGTTTAGTTCATTTTGTCCCACTCTTGTCGCGACTTCCTCTCGAACTAAATTCTATAATTTTTCATAATGAGAATTAAACTTTAAACTATACCTATAGGACTGTAATATAGAATGTATATAATCATAAATAAATAGTGTTCGTTATACTTACAACTTGTTCTTCAGAAGGGGCACCTTGACCGTGTAAGAAAAACAACGTGACGCAGAAAAACCGTATAATGTGTTTTAAATGCATTGTTAGTTTTTAACAAAATTAAACTCGGATTCGGAATACTTAATTGTTAGTTTTGAAACTATTCGCTTAGAGTACTCGAGGTGATTTTATAATGTAATGAGAATATTGTATTACTATGGTTGATGACTGTGAAGTTATCTTTACTAGCTACTTACTAGGATTGTAATGACTGTACCGTCCCGTTTGAGTAAACAACACATGTTTAACAACGTTTTTTTATTTGCGTTGTTATAAACATTTTATTTGTTGTTTGAAGTCTTTTAAAAAAATATAGCTTAACATGTGTTTTTAAAATATAATCTAGGTTGCTGCTTGAGTTTCAAGTTAACTCCTTATATTTTTACACCGAATAGGGAAAAATACAATAACATAAAACACTATTGTATGATAAAAACCAAAAAGGTTATACATAAGACATTTTTTAATAATTTTAGTATATTATCATATAAAACCATGTATAGTTTATAAAATTCCAAATACCCTGTATACTAATTGGAATGATGTTAAAAAAATGAATATAATCTTTGAAGGTTGAACAAACTACTTTGTTCTTGTTTTTAACATATCACATTACAAAAATTAAAATTTAATATTATTAAATAATAAGTATGTTAATAAATGAATGACTGTTTTTTACTTGAATGGTATTAGAAAAAATATATCAAATTTAAAGTAAATTGAATAATATTTAATACATACTATTTAAAAACCGACAAAACACTTGTCAACATTTGTATTTTTTTTTTTATCAAGTTGTATCTACAAATCCTATAGTGTTAATATTAAGTAGTACAATTTTTTTTTGTACATGCAATTACATTTTTTACAGAACTTTTGTTTGAGATTTCCTTGTCAAACAGAGTAATTACATTCATTCAAATAAATTTCTACTATTTTAAAACAATTTCAACACTGTTGAACGGGTCTTCCGAGAGTGTTTCAAAAAACAAAATATAAATATATCAATACAGATTTGATATTTTAATGTGATAACAGGCTCATTGTGATACGTTAACTGTTAATATTTGTTTGATTTTCTTTAAACTATTTTTAATAAGCAAATGATAATTATCACAACTTCGATAAGTAGTTATCTGAAACCAAACACTTATCAAAAAATGACTGAGTACCCATTTTATGATTTAAAACCATTTTTAACGCTTGCCTGAAATCGGCCAATAGAGTAATACCATGTTAATAGACAAATGCCATTAAACATTAATGAAGTATAATCGGTTTTTTAGTTTGTGCTATCTCTTTATCTAAACTTTTTTTTACCTCCGTTTGGTCAAAGCCCGTTATCATATAATCTTTTACAAAATTTAAACTTACATGTTTATTTAGATATAAGTTTAAATGGCATCGCGCCGAAATAGTATCGACACAAATTCCTTGAGAATTGCATTTTGAAAAATCACAATACTAACGAGATATAAGAGCAAAAAATAATTTATTAATCAATCAAGACAACATGAATATTGAACATGTGTTTTACTACATGCATGTAGTAATTCAATAACAGTTATTCAACTACTCCTTAAATAAAGTATCAAGGATGATAGATACAACCATTTCCAGAGTGTATTGTTTGTCTGAAAGTACAAAATATAATTATTCATTTTTTAAACAAACAAATCATGCCAAATGAGTTGAAAATCACAATGTGGAACGCTTGAAAAACAGCTCAATAATAACGCAATTTTTAAATAATACGATATTAGTGTGAAATTTTTAATTTTCTTAAAAAAAAAAAATGATCTTATATCTCACATTTTGCTAATTGTTTTTTTGAACAACAAAAAAAGGTGGCCCATTTTTAAATTGTTTAGTAAATATACGGGTTATGATTTTTTAGTTTAAAAAAAATTAATTAACTTAAGCTATATAAATGGCCAACTTTATTAATGAAATGTCTTTGCAATAGTTGTTTTTCAACATTTTACTCGATTCATTTATTGAATACTAGAGCTTCGCTCTAGCTGGGGGCTCCGCCCCCAGGCCCCCGAGTCGGGCGGGTAGGTCACAGATTCCCGGTACTGTACCCGGCTACGCCGGGCACGCTCACGTCCCCTCGCTGCAAAGTATTTTCGGGGAGGTCACAGATTCCGAGGGGGGTGGCCGGCTGCGCCGGCCACGGTATGTAGAAGTCAGTGCGCAGCGGTTCCTAGGGGGGTGCCCGGCTACGCCGGCCACGGTGTCGAGCCATCGTAATACGTCCTAAAGGAATGTCGTTATAATTCATAGTACCTATAGGCTGTATTTAGTGATCAGAATTCATACCTAGTTTTGGACAAATATTTTGCAAGCTAAGTAGTGATTAAGTGTAGAGTAAGTCTAGCTATGTATCTGTAATTTTTTTAAATTTTAAATTGAAAAGAATAGTCTAGAAGTTAGACGGTTAATAAATATCAAGTGTCCGGTGTTGCTTACTTGGGTTGTTACCACTTTTACCAATTTTTATGAACTACCAATGTCCAGTTCCTTATCAGCAGGCGGAATTCGTATTGAAAACTAATAAGGACAGCAGGTCTCCGAGTGTTTTAGCATTCGCTCGCTCGGCGCCGTCACTTCGCTCCGCCAACTAAAAATATCCTAGGTTTGTAGGCTACAGTCTATGAGGAGGTAACAGGTTTAAAATTAAGTTTAAATTAAAATTTTAAAAAGTTAAAGAGGCTTGATAAGAAGCTGGCCATTGGGAAAAAGTGTACAATGGAAATTGTCTTTGGTAAAAGTTGTTATATTATAGACCACGTCATCAATATAGGCCGGCGTCATCCCGCTTAATTTTATGAGTTGAAAACAGATAAAAATGTCTAGAGGACAGTCAGCTAAATGTCTGTTAAGGTTTGCCTTTGTGAAACAAAATTTGTTTAAACGTAGTATGTTATATGTCTGTACACAGCGGTTCCGAGGGGGGTGGCCGGCTACGCCGGCCACGGTGTCGAGTCAGCTCACTACGTTTTAAAGTATACCGCTATAATTCATCGTACCTTTATCCAGTAATCATAGTTCATACTTAGTTTCGAAAAAGTGTTTTGCAAGCTAAGTACCGGTTAACTGTAGTGCAAGTCTAGCTATCTGTCAGATCAGAAACGTCCTACTACTAAAGCGAGTGTGCTACTTGCTTAAAGGACAATTTTTTTTTTTTTTTTAATTTGAATTGTTTGAGGTGTTGTTTACTTCACGGGCTTGGTAATAGCTATGGTTCAAAATAGAAAAAAATGTTTAGAGGTCAGTCTGTATAGGTCTGATATGGTGTTCCTATGTGCAACAAAACTTTTTCAAACGTATACGTTATATGTCTAGATATTGGTTGAATTAAAATCCTTATTTGTTCAGAAATCACCGTCTATGCCATTATTCGGTAATGACGTACTGTACGTTTAGAATGTAACCAACAGCATAATGCATTAAATATGTATATTAAAGGTCTGGTGGTTTAACAGAAGTTCATAAGTGTTTAAGAATTCAAGAGTAAATCACATGAATGAAATGTCTAGTTTATATTAAAACTTAAAAGGGAAAGAAGTGAAGAGTGATAAATACATTATTATTGATCGACTATTTGGCAGAGCTTATAAAAATGTCCAAAGAGAGGTTAAATGAAATGTCTCGATGCAAATCTTTTAGTTTTTGGATCTGGACCTTTAATGCTAAAGGTACTTTGATACTTAAGGTCTGACGTTTGTTGGTTATTAGAAGTTTAAAAGTGTGGAAGAATGATATGTTTGTGTGACGGTTACTTGGGAACTCAAGAGTACAAAACATGAATGAAATGTCTGAAATAATTTGTAGCAAATATTTTTGATTATTCGAGTGTCCGGCGGTGATTATAAAAACGGTCAGAGTACAAAATGATAATAATAATAATATTCAGTGCATAAAATACCTAAATTATTTGATACTTATCCAGACATATTTTATACATAATAGATAAATTGATATATACATTAATACTTTTTTAAGTAAACCATGAAAGGTATAAATCCATATGTTGATATATTTTTAGATGGCTAACCAACAATTCATCCTACTAAATGATAATAATAAAAAATTTTAAAATAATTTTATTTTTTATTATGTAGTATCAATTTAAAAAAATATAGCAAAATCTATAGATTTACTATACTTTTTTAGGGTGGAGCGAATACTTATATTATACTTCTATAAATAATAAAATAGTAAATTAAATGTCGATTTTCAATAAAAATTTTAACCCTTTGAAGCACAGCATTTTTATCTCCGATTATCTCTGAACATGATTATGAAGGTGGTAATAAATATATACCACTGCGCGAGAGTAGGCTATTTTTTGAAAAAGTGGTATATTACTTATATCACCATGCTTCAAAATGTTAAAATGCAATAAAATGATTTGAAATTAATATTTTATTTTTATGTTTTAATTATGCCCTATGTCTGAAATCACACCACAAAAAAAAACAAAATAGTCAATATTAATAAGTATCTAATTTAGTTCAAGCTATATCAATAGCAGCTCAAAAAAAAAAAAATTTATATATATACATACATATAATATAAAAAATTAACATTAAATAGTTAGTAAAAATAAATGTTCAGACAATTTTTTTGATTTTTGATTACTACTCACAAAAACGGTCTAAGAACACAAAATGTTGAACGCTAAAATAATCTAAAGACAACTGTTTTAAGAATTTATTAAGATGATATAGGGACTTTTGCTGATGCTTTTAAAAAACATACCTATAATTTTTTATAATAAGACTGTGTAAAAATGCATTTATTCGTTGGTTAAATAAGTATTATAAAGCCAGGGAGTAAAAACCGGAATGAT